CGGCCGATCAAAGTTCGACAGCCACCTAGCGATTGAGGGTCGGAGATCGAGGGTCGAGGATCCAGGGCCGTTCGGACATCGAGGAGCCAGGATCGAGCGGCCACGATCCGTCGAAGTTCGACGCTGGATGGTTGAGGGTCGGAGATCGAGGGTCGAGGATCCAGGGCCGTTCGGACATCGAGGAGCCAGGATCGAGCGGCCACGATCCGTCGAAGTTCGACGCTGGATGGCCGATCGAAGAGCGACGATCGAGAACCGATGTTCCAGGCTTGATCGAAACTCCAGGCTCCAGAATGCCTGGCCGATCGAACATCCATGATCGAGGTTCGATCGAGGCTCGAGATCGAGGATCGAGGGCCCCAGATACTTGGAGGGTCGAGGATAGAGGTCCGGTCGAACAGCGACCATCGACTTCCCAGGATCCAGTCCCGATCGAAAGTCGCGGCTCGAAAGCCGAACGACGGGCGAATACCAGGATGCGGTTCTTTCGGTGTAGCTCCGATCTCAACTTTTTAATCCAGGGGGTGGTAGAAATCGGATCCGCCGTAAAAAATGAGACCGGACACGGATCTAACTAATCCGAAATCGGATCCGTACGGACGGAAATCGGATCCACCGAAACAAACACCAAAGCCACATTAGGATCCGCGCGAGCTTCATGAGATCCGACGGCGGTTATCTCATACGGGTCTGCTGAAGACTTCACACCGTCGTTCCGGGCCCAAGAGGAAAAAACTTTCGTCCTGGGGATGGTAGGAGTCCCCCTGTGGAGGATTCAACAATAATGCAATGCCAACGCAATGCCAGTGCCATGCCGGCGCTCTGCCTGCGCAAGGCCAACGCAAGGCCAAGGATCACCAATGCTATGCCAATTCTATGCGAGGTCCGTGCCACCGCATGCAAGCACAATGCCAGCACATGGCCAATGCAGTACCAATTCGGATTCAATGCCAGTTCAATGCGAACGCGATGAGTCGTTTCTCTTGTGCACTTCAATGGGAATCCTTCTGTGGACGGTTTCATTTGGAATCTTCCTGTAGAGGATTTTGGTGAATCATTATGTCGAGGATTTCAACAGCAACCCTTCTTGTTTGGGAGTTCAATAGGAATCCTTATGTGAAGGATTTCAATGGAAATTCTTCGATGTAGGATTTCAATGGAAATCCTTCTGTGAAGGATTTCAATAGGAACCTTCTGCGGAGGATTCCAATCGGAATCGTTCTGCGGGCGTTTCCAGAAGAATCCTTGCGCGGAGGATTTCGTAGGAGTCCTTCTGTGGAGGGTTTCAACGGGAACTCTTCTTGTGTAGGATTCCAATAGCTTCCTGTGGAGGATTTCAAGAGGAATCCGTTTGTGGAGGGTTTCGATACGGATTTGCTGCATAATTTCAATATGAACGCAACGCCAAGACAATGCCAAGGCACTGACAGTGCTGTGCCAGCGCTTTGCCAGCGCCAAGGCCCATCGCAACGCCAAGGGGCACCAATGCTATGCTGCCTTCCTGTGGAGGTTTCCAGTAGGAATCATTATGCGGAGGGCGTTCAATCAAAATCTTTGTTTGTGGAGGGTTTCAATAGGAATGCGATGCTAATGAATGCAAGTGCTACGCTAGCTCTTTGCCAGCGCAAGGCCAATGCAATGCCAAGGAACACCAATGCTATGCAATTCTACGCCATGTCCGTGCCAATGCGTCGTCAGCACCGTGTCAGTGCAACACCAACACTTGGCCAGTGCAGTGTCAATCCCCTTTCAACGCTATCCAACGCGAAAGGAATGAACCTTGTTTTTCCCATCGATGTTTCAATAGAAATCCTTATGTGGATGATTGAATAGGTGTCCTGCTATGGGGGATTTCAGTTGGAGCCGTCCGAGGGGGAATGTAATAGGAATCCTTCGATGAAGGGCTTCAAGAGGAATGCCATGCAATTCACGTCCAAGGCAATGCTTGTGCTATGCCAGCACGTTGCCAGCGCAAGGCCATGCAATGCCAGAGGGGCACCAGTGAATCGTTGTTCCATGTTTCAATAGAAATCCTCATGTGGATGATTGAACTAGGAATCCTGCTTTCGGGGCTTCAGCAAGAACCTTATGTGCAGGAGTTTCACTAGATTCCTGGTATGCAAGGTTTCAAGGGGAAAGCGTGCCACCGCAATCCCTAGACAATGCTTGTGCTGTGCCAGCGCTTTGCCAGCGCAGGGCCCATGCAATGCCAGTGGGCACCAGTGAACCCTTTTCTTCTATACTTCAGTGGGAAACCTTATGTGGATGATTGAACTAAGGATCCTGATATATAGGGTTTCAATAGGAGCTTTCTGTTGGGGAATGTGATATGACTCCTGCTGTGGGGGACTTCAATGGGAGCCATCTGAGGAGGAATGTAATAGGAATCCTTATATCAAGGCTTCAAGAGGAATACCATACACTTCACGTCCAAGGCAATGCTTGTGCTATGCCAGCGCTGTGCCAGCGCAAGGCCATGCAATGCAAAGGGGCACCAATGAATAGGTGTCCCATATGTCAAAAAAAACGTCAGTGGATGATGAACTAAGAATCCTACTTTTGGGGTGTCAGTAAGAACCGTCTGCGGAGGAATCTAATTAGATTCCGGATATGCAGGGCTTCAATGGGAAAGCCTGCCACCGCAATTCCAAGGCAATGCTTGTGCTGTGCCAGCGCGTTGCCAGCGCAAGGCCGATGCAATGCCAAGGGGCACCAGAGAACCCTTGTCTTCTACATTTCAATAGAAACCCTTATGTGGATGATTGAACTGGGGATCATGCTATAGAGGGTTTCAGTAAGAGTCCTTCTGCTGAGAAATTCAATAGATATCCCTGTATGAAGGGCCCCAATAGAAATGCAGGGCCAAGTCGATTGCAAGGCAATGCCTGTGCTATGCCAGCACTATGTCAGCGCACGGCCAATGCAATGCCCAGGGGCACCACACAACGCTTTAAAAAAGATTACACTAGTAATCCTTATGTGGAGGACTGAACCAGAAATCCTGTCATGGAGGAGTTCAGTTGGCCCCTTATGTGGAGGAATTGGATGGGAATCATTGGATGCTGGGCTTCGGGAAGGGTCCAGTGCCAAGGCAATTTCAAGGCAGTGCTTGTGCTGTGCCAGCGCTTTACCAGTGGAAGGCCAATGCAATGCCAAGGGGCACCAACGAATACTTGTCCTTCTATATTCCAATGGCTAACCTTATGTGGATGATTGAGCTAGGAATCCTATTATAGGGGTACAGGGTTTCAGTAAGAGTCCTTCTGCTGAGAAATTCCATCGATATCCCTGTATGAAGGGTTTCAAGAGAAATGCAGTGCAACGTCGAATCCAAGGCAATGCTTGTACTATGCAAGCGCTCTGTCAGCGCAAGGCCAATTCAATGCCAGAGGGCACCAATGAATCCTTTTCTCTATCGTGCAATCGTAATCCTTCTGTGGAGGACTGAGCTAGGAATCCAGCTATGGAGGATTTCGGTAGGAATCTTCTGAAGAATTCAATAGAAATCCGTCTACGAAGGGCCTCAACAGTGGTGCAATGCCAAATCCATTCCAAGGCACTGCTTATGCTACGCCAGCGCTTTGCCAGCGCAAGGCCATTGCAATACCAAGGAACACCAATGAATATGTTGCCCTCTATATTTCAGTGGTAATGCTTCTGTGGGTGATTGGACTAGGAATCCTGCAATGGAGGATGTCAGTACGAGCCTTCTGTGGAGGAGGTCAACATGCCGCTGCTCTGCCAATTCTATGCAAGTCCGTGCCGATGCCAGTGCAATGCCAGCACGTGGTCGTTGTATGCCAATCCCGATTCACTGCGATTCGATACGGATGATATTGATTCCTTTTTCCCGTATTTAACTAGGAACTCTTCTGTGGATGATTTGGATTCGAATATTATGTGGAGGACTTGGTTAGGAATCCTTTTTGTGTATGCGCGTGGGGAAAAGGGGTTGAACATAGGAATCCTTCTGGTTCAGGATTCCATATGAATTGGTATTGCGGTGAGGGGGTACTAGGAGTTCTTCTCATGACGGGATTCATAAAATTCCTTCTGTCGAGGTTTCAACGGAAGTCGCCAACGCAATCCAAGCGCAAGGCCAGCGCACTGCCGACACAATGCAGCGCAAGTCCTATGCCAAACCAAGCCATGCAATGTCAATGGGGGTCCTCAAGGCAGAGCGTTTATACTGAGCCGACATGAGAAATACGCAAACGACACGCCACCACCCATCCCCCATGAACAAAAATAAAACATTTGAACCAACAGATATGCGCAACGTCGAGACGAGAATGCCATTTGTTTTAATGCGCGCGGCGCCGAGGCGAGAATGTGGTTTTTGAGAAATGGGATGCCGTAGACCGCCACTTGAGAATCCCCCGCCCTCGCAATTCTACCTGGGAGATCCCGAACGATCTGGGTACGAACGGGCCCGTGATTACACCCTGGTCGACTCCACATTGCGAGGCCCAACTGTCATGCCTGCTGCATCGCGCGAGAAGATACAGGCCTATTCCGCCAGAACGCCAGTTCTACCTGGGAGATCCCAATTATCAGGGCACCAACGGGCCCGCGGTAACCCCATTAGTGGCTCGCCCTGGGGAGGCCCAGGGGGGACACGCGTGCTGTTGTTTTCCTCGGGGGGCGGAAAGGATTCTATACTTGTCTATATGTATACCTATATGTCGATATGCATCTATTCCTAAATCCATATTCCATACTCATATGCACATAACGGTGAAGAAAACAACTGCACACCATACATCAAAATCGAGCAATGGACAATTAGTGCGGGGAACGGGGACTGATCACATCCTCGGGCACTCCAGGGGAAGGGGGAGGAGGAAGAGCATGAGCTGCGGCATTACTCAGAAGGAGCATGATGCAATGATTCGCATGATGAGGGAAGCGGGAAAGAGGGCGAGGTGGATGAGGATGAGGAAGAGTGACGAGGAGGGGAATGCGGGGGGAGGAGGGTGGGGAGAAGGCAAGTGCCCCGCCTCCTTCTTGACGGTCTTCTTGCTCTCCGCAGCTTCTCGGCCAGAACCGGTGATGCTGTAGATCGGATTTGAATCCCAACGTTGACGGGTGATCGTTCAGATTAACTCTTGCTGACCACCATCCGCCATCCTTCTCGTACATCATCGCTGTGTCTTCATCTTCTTGGTCAGATCGTGTTGCCCCGCCCGGCTGTTCTCGGGATTCCCACACATGGCTGAATGCAAGCAGACCAACCGAATTACTGAGATTCCGTCCACGAGGCTCATGAAGGCCTGAAGCTAGAACCCCAAGCCATGGGAGGCTCTGACTTGTTGTGCTCTTGACGCGGACAGGTTTTCAAAACAAACTTTAACCCAATTCTGAGCGCCCCCCCGCGGCTTGAATACCTGCGGACATCCTGAGCAGCGGCCTCACTTTGCAGTGGCTGTGCCCGCTTCATCGCGAGGGCTGCCCGTCGCAGATGCTCCGAGCCGACCGCTGCACAAAAGCGGACGAGCGGTAGGCTGCCATCCCACACCTCAAAGGCACGCCAGAGGATGAGAAGGACGAGGGAGGAAAAAAGGAAGCCTGACGACCATGCCGATGACCACGCAGAGCAGCACGAACTGGGCAGTGGGGTGCCGGGAGGTGCTGTGGGGGGAGGCTCGGAGGCCGGCGAGGGAGCGTCAGTGGGGGTGGAGAGCGGGGAAGAGCTCGCGGCATACGGTCGACGCAGCGCTGCCGTGAACCCGAAGAGGGCCCGAGGCGCCCCTTTGTCCTAAAGTTAGGTCGAGACATTCTACTGTCGGGTCGGGCGAAAGGGGGGGATAGCCAAGGGGGGGTTTGAGAATCAGCTCACGTAGCTGATTTTCCCGGCGCCTCCCGGCGCCGGAGGCGGCCATGTATCGAGGAATGGGCCCCTCGGTGAGGCCGGCACCAGCTGCATGCAGCAAATTTCGTAATCCCCACTTTCCCAATCCCCCCCTTTCGCCCAGCCCGATACTGGGCCCTGTGGAGAACGCTGTGGAACGGGCGTACACTCAGCCATACACTCCCTGCCAGCAGTGCGCCGTACTCCGGCGCCCCGGCGGACTGCAGCGCAGGGCGGGTGAGTGCGGGGGAGCAGGGTCGGAGAGAGGGCGAGGGACTCTCGTTCGACGCAGTCGGAAATCCGAGAGAGGCAGTGAACTGGACGGGAAGGCGCGAGGGAGCAGGGACGGGGGAGGGAACCTCTTCGATCTTGTAGATTTTTTCCCAACCATCCTGTGGTGTTGGGTCCTCGTTTTGAAGAGACGGTGCCCCGCGTTCCTCTCCTTCCTCTCCTCCTCCCTCCTCCCCCTCCTTGCCTCTGCTCTCGGCACACCTCTCACGCGTTTCGTAGCCCCATAGGGAGCTCCACCGAAGGCCCCAGTGGGGGTGTTCGCATGCGGTTCCCCCACCCAGGGCAGCGTTTCGTGGCCCCATAGGGAGCTCCACCGAAGGCCCCCGTGGGGGTGTTCGCATGCGGTTCCCCCACCCAGGGCAGCGTTTCGTGGCCCCATAGGGAGCTCCACCGAAGGCCCCAGTGGGGGTGTTCGCATGCGGTTCCCCCACCCAGGGCAGCGTTTCGTAGCCCCATAGGGAGCTCCACCGAAGGCCCCAGTGGGGGTGTTCGCATGCGGTTCCCCCACCCAGGGCAGCGTTTCGTGGCCCCATAGGGAGCTCCACCGAAGGCCCCAGTGGGGGTGTTCGCATGCGGTTCCCCCACCCAGGGCAGCGTTTCGTAGCCCCATAGGGAGCTCCACCGAAGGCCCCAGTGGGGGTGTTCGCATGCGGTTCCCCCACCCAGGGCAGCGTTTCGTGGCCCCATAGGGAGCTCCACCGAAGGCCCCAGTGGGGGTGTTCGCATGCGGTTCCCCCACCCAGGGCAGCGTTTCGTAGCCCCATAGGGAGCTCCACCGAAGGCCCCAGTGGGGGTGTTCGCATGCGGTTCCCCCACCCAGGGCAGCGTTTCGTGGCCCCATAGGGAGCTCCAGAAGCGCCCCAGTGGGGGTGTTCGCATGCGGTTCCCCCACCCAGGGCAGCGTTTCGTGGCCCCATAGGGAGCTCCACCGAAGGCCCCAGTGGGGGTGTTCGCATGCGGTTCCCCCACCCAGGGCAGCGTTTCGTAGCCCCATAGGGAGCTCCACCGAAGGCCCCAGTGGGGGTGTTCGCATGCGGTTCCCCCACCCAGGGCAGCGTTTCGTGGCCCCATAGGGAGCTCCACCGAAGGCCCCAGTGGGGGTGTTCGCATGCGGTTCCCCCACCCAGGGCAGCGTTTCGTAGCCCCATAGGGAGCTCCACCGAAGGCCCCAGTGGGGGTGTTCGCATGCGGTTCCCCCACCCAGGGCAGCGTTTCGTGGCCCCATAGGGAGCTCCACCGAAGGCCCCAGTGGGGGTGTTCGCATGCGGTTCCCCCACCCAGGGCAGCGTTTCGTAGCCCCATAGGGAGCTCCACCGAAGGCCCCAGTGGGGGTGTTCGCATGCGGTTCCCCCACCCAGGGCAGCGTTTCGTGGCCCCATAGGGAGCTCCACCGAAGGCCCCAGTGGGGGTGTTCGCATGCGGTTCCCCCACCCAGGGCAGCGTTTCGTGGCCCCATAGGGAGCTCCACCGAAGGCCCCAGTGGGGGTGTTCGCATGCGGTTCCCCCACCCAGGGCAGCGTTTCGTAGCCCCATAGGGAGCTCCACCGAAGGCCCCAGTGGGGGGTTCGCATGCGGTTCGTTCCAGGGCAGCGCATGCGGTTCCCCCACCCAGGGCAGCGTTTCGTGGCCCCATAGGGAGCTCCACCGAAGGCCCCAGTGGGGGTGTTCGCATGCGGTTCCCCCACCCAGGGCAGCGTTTCGTGGCCCCATAGGGAGCTCCACCGAAGGCCCCAGTGGGGGTGTTCGCATGCGGTTCCCCCACCCAGGGCAGCGTTTCGTAGCCCCATAGGGAGCTCCACCGAAGGCCCCAGTGGGGGTGTTCGCATGCGGTTCCCCCACCCAGGGCAGCGCTTCGTGGCCCCATGGGGAGCTCCACCGAAAGCCCCCGTGGCGCAGTTCGCATGCGCTTCCCCCACCCAGGGCAGCGTTTCGTGGCACCATAGGGAGCTCCACCGAAGGCCCCAGTGGCGCAGTTCGCATGCGGTTCCCCCACCCAGGGCAGCGTTTCGTAGCCCCATAGGGAGCTCCACCGAAGGCCCGCCCCGGTGGCGCAGTCCGCCTGCGGTTCCCCCATCCAAGGCAGCGCTGCGTGGCCCCATATGGAGCCCCACCGAAAGCGGCACCCACAACGCGTTACCAACAATTGCTTATGGTTGGGTCTTTCGCCAGGATATTTTTTTTTTTGTTTTTCCGTCGCCCGGCGCCTGGAATTGCATGTAACTGACAGGTGTCCGACACCGTGCTTACTCTTCGATATCGTGGATGTAGGTTAACGACCGAAGAGTCGAAGCCACTGAGATGTCCGCTGGCAGAGGGCGATTGAGAAGGGGGGAGAGATCTCTTTTCTCCCATGCGCCGCGGGCGAGCGGCGCGAGTCCTGTCTGAAAGGACTGTCCATTACATGAGCCGGGACGGTAGCGGTATATATGGATAGCAAGGTGATATGAGCGGACTTCACACGCACACACACCGCCCCGAATCCCGCTCGCTCCACGTGGGCCCCGGGCCCGCGGGAGACAGAGGCGGGACTCGGGAACAAAGTTCTGAAAAGCCTGGCTACTGGTGAGGACTTCGAAATCATCCTGACAGGAGGAGTCCTTCGGTGGAGCTCCCTATGGGGCCACGAAGCGCTGTAGTGGGTATGCCGAAAAGGAAACATGCTGAGGGCAGAGGCAAGGAGGGGGAGGAGGGAGGAGGGGGAGGAGGAGAGGAGAGGAGAGGAGAGGAGAGGAGAGGAGAGGAGAGGAGAGGAGAGAGGAGGAGAGGAGAGGGGAGGAGAGGAGAGGAGAGGAGAGGAGAGGAGAGGAGAGGAGAGGAGAGGAGAGGAGAGGAGAGGAGAAGAGAGGAGAGGAGAGGAGAGGAGAGGAGAGAGAAGAGGCGAGGCGAGGCGAGGCAATGAGAAGAGATGAGAGAAGAGAAAGGAGACGTGGGGCTGTCTCTTGAAAACGAGGACCCAACACCACAGGATGGTTGGGAAAAACAGATTTGGGCGTTTGCTTCTTTCCGGCCTTCGGACGGCCCGAGACGGCCCAAGAGCCCCCAAAGATCGCCCCAAGATCGCCCACGAGGCCTCCAAGATGGCTCCAGAACGGCCCAAGAGGCCCCAAAGAGGGCCCCAAAGAGGGCCCCAAAACGGCCCAAGAGGCCTCCAAGGAGCCCAAGATGGCCTCCAAGACAGCCCCAAGAGGGCCCCCCAAGAGGGCCGCAAGTCGGCCCAGAGAGGCCCCCAAGACGGCTTCCGACGGCGTCAGACGGGCCAGGAACGCCCTAAGACTGCCCAAAAAGCCCCCGAGAAGCCGCCGAAGGCCCCCAAGAGACCCAAGGATGCCCCCCAAGATGCCTCCAAGAGTCTCCCGGGAAGCTCCCAGGAGGCATCAAGAGTGCCTGCCCCCAGAGGCTCCCAAGATGCCCCCTCCTCCTCCTCCTCCTCCTCCTCCTCCTCCTCCTCCTCCTCCTCCTCCTCCTCCAAATCTTCCCCGCCATCCTCCCCTGAATATCCCCCGAATGGTTTCCACAACGGCTGGGGAAACGCACGGTCCGATAGCTTGGCAGAGCTCTTGCCACAACGCTCGGCCACATGGGCGACTCCGAAAGGCAAAAGGGCGGCGGTGATTCGCCGAAGGCGTCTTCGACATGGAGGAACTCTCGACCGTGAGCCTCGTTAGTGAGCGACTTGCGAGGAAGGACCTCCCTTTGGGGCCCCCGACTCCTGTCGGTAATGCGAGCGACTCGTCGGCGTAGTGCAACAGGCATAGCAATTGAATGCCCCAAGGGGGGCAAATCGTGGGAGCGTCTCGGGCGGGAGCTTCGTCTGCGAGTGACTTGTGATACAGTCTTGAGCGAGCGCCCTCTGCCTATATGGCGTATCCACGTCGCGTTGATAATCCGAACGCGCCGTCGGCGCAGTGTAGCAAGCATAACACTTGAGCGCTCCAAGGGCGCAAACGGTGGGACGTCTCGATCGGGGGCCCCGCCTGTCAGTCGATTGCGAGGAAGTCTCAACTGGGAACCCTCTCCCTATGGGATCCCCGCCTCATGTTGGTAATCCGAACGGGTCGTCGGCGTAGTGAAGCAGGAGTGCCCTTGAAAACCCCAAGAGTGAACATCAAGGGGGACGTCTAGGGTGGAATCTTCGCCTGTGAGTGGATTGCGAGGAAGTCTCAACTGAGAACCCTCTCCCTATGGGATCCCCGCCTCATGTTGGTAATCCTAGCGGGTCTTCGGCGTAGTGTACTAGCCTCAACAGTTGAGCACCCCAAGGGAGCCCTCTCCCTATGGGGTCTCCGCCTCATGTTGGTAATCTGAGCGGTTTGTCGGCGTAGTGTAACAGGCTCAACAATTCAGCAGCCAAAGGGGGCAAATCGTGGGAGCGTCTCGATCGAGAGCCTCGTCTGTGAGTGAATCGCGGGGAAGTCTCGAGCGGGAGCCCTCCTCCCATGGAGTTCCCGCCCCACGTTGATACACCGAGCGGGTCATCGGCGTAGTGAAGCAGGCATAACACTTGAGCACACTAGGGGAGCCAATCGTAGGGGACGTCTCGAGCGGGAGCCTCATTCGTCTGCGAATCGCGGGGACGTCTCGAGAGGGAGCCCTCTCCCTATGGGGTCCTCGCCCCAGGTTGGTAATCCGAGCAGGTTGTCGGCGTAGTGTAACAGGCTCACCACTCCAACAGCCAAAAGGGGGCAAATCGTGGAAGCGTCTCGGGCGAGAGCCTCGTCTGTGAATCGCGGGGAGGTCTCGAGCGGAAGCCCTTCCAGTATGGGGTCTCCGCCTCATGTTGGTAAGCCGAGCGGGTTGCCGGCGTAGCGTAACAGGCCCACCAATCCAGAAGCAAAAAAAGGCGGGCGAATCGTGGGAGCGTCTCGAGCGGGAGACTCATGTGCGAGTGAGTCGCGGGAACCCTCTCCCCATGGAGGTCCCGCCCCATGCTGGTAATCCGAGAAGGCCTTGGGCGCAGTGCAGCAGGGATAGCACCTGATCGCTCCAAGGACGTTGCAGAAGGATCCTGGGTGGGGAGGGTGGGGAGGAGGGGAGAGGGGGGCTCAAGGGGGGGAGGAGGAGGAGGAGAGGAGGAGGAGGAGGAGGAGGAGGAGGAGGAGGGAGGAGGAGGAGGAGCAGGAGGAAGAGGAGGGGGATGAGGAGGAGGGGGAGGAGGAGGAGGAGGAGGAGGAGGAGGAGGAGAAGGGAGAGGAGGAGGAGGGGGAGAAGGAGGAGGAGGTCTCGAGCGGGAGCCTCGCCTGTGAGTGCCTCGCAGGGAGGGCTCGAGCGGGAGCCCCTGCCCTGCGGGGCCTGCAAGTGCAACGGGCCCTACGGGCTGCACCGCTGCCAGGGCCCCACACGTCTCAAAAGTCCCACACGGCGCGTCCAAGTGTCCTCGCATCGCGGCACCATCACCATGGTTAGTAGTCGGTGGGGTGAGTCTGATTCACATGAAGGAGAGTATCAGTTGAGGTTCTCCTGTCGGAAGAATGATCAATCGTTATGTCTGCGGTGCCTGCCTTATGCGTCTCTATTCGTACCAATGTTGCTAGTACGATTGCTGCTTGGCTTTGCGTACTTATGAATACGTCGTTCCTCGACGTGTTTTACTCTTGATCGTATTAGAAATAAAACATTTTATTGTGGTTATCATTCTAGTTATTCCTCGTCCTCCTGTCCCTCCTCATCGTATTATCCTCAGTATCCCCCTCGTGTGTGTGATGCCAACCAACATTATGATCAACATGCCGTTCCTGCATCGGCAAATTGAAGGCCTCACGAGGCAAAGACCGTGGCGGGCGGTGTTCCTCCTCCTCCTCCTCCTCCTCCCACGCCAAGCGCGAGGCCGAGAACGACAACGCCCCTGAATGGCGGGCGGAGCTCGCCTCGGCAACCACTGCGAATCTCAGGTAGAAGCGGTCCTCCAACCACCCGCGGCCTGATCAGTGTAGGCTGCCGGGGGCAGCGTCGCGGGACGGGAAGGGAGGGGGGGGAGGAGGATCCCACTGCGTGCAACGCAGAGCGTGGCCCTCGCCTCATCGACCGAGCGCCGCGGGAGGGGGGAGACTCGAAACGGTTCGTGGAATACCGAATTGACCATCTCCAACGCACTCCCGGCGGCGGCCGCATGGTAATGGACGACGGGCCAGCGGTTCATGACCCACTGGCCAGATTCTGTGAGGTCCGTGTGGGGGGTGCCCATACAGGATTCGACAGCAGAGACGAGGGGGAAAAGAGGCTCCACTGCTGCAAACTCCACGTCTCTGTCTCCAGCGCACGCCAGGCGATCTCTTGAACTGCCAGGACGTAATCGCCTCCTGAACTGGGATCGCCAGGCGGAGGGCGCTCATCGCCGCTTCGAAGTGACTAGCCCCTGTGCTCCATATTGACATGTAAATTGTTCACCCGCCATCATGAGGACCAAAAAAACTGCCGAACGGTGCGAGAAGCGTCCCCGACTCCGAACACCTCCACGACGATGGTCGACATTGACTGCTCGTGAGGGAGAAGAAGAGGTATACGAATCACTGCTGCACACACGATACTTGTTCGGGCCGGTCAACACGTAGGTGGCGGCCTCCCCCAAGGTGAAGACGCCTGAACCTCAATAACCCTTTGCTCCACTACTAAGCTGACGTACTCCGAGTTGTGAGAGACGCCCTTTCACTGCGATGCCATTGAACCCCCCTCGGCGGACCTCCGCACACTCTGCTGTGAGCGCGGTCTGCGTGACATGCACGCCCATAGGCAGGCTCGAGAGGCAGACAGCAGCAAATATTGTGGGAGAGGCCCGCCAGAACATGCTCGCGAGAAGGGTGGGAGAGACAGTGAAAGCGGACAGAGAGAGAGAGAGAGAGAGAGAGAGAGCAGAGTCAAGCCGCATAAGAAGGATGCGCGGTAAGGATGAAAGGGCCTTGGAGGACCATGTTGGCGTTTTCGAACGGGGCTGGCCAGCGAAAGCCACCAAGAATGGGCCGAAGGGGCAAGGATGCGAGGGGTAGGCTTGGACGGTTGCCCATCCTTACTGTGCGACTTGACTGCAGACTGAGCAGAGGGCTATTCGCAAGTGAGGCTTTTGCACTGGCACCCGTACGCGCCTGCCGTCGCGTCCTCGCTGGCCACCGGCAACGCGGCATGGCTCCTGCGCCGCGCGGCCCCGCGCTGCCTGCGACCCGTCCCTCCTCCTCCTCCTCCTCCTCCTCCTCCTCCTCCTCCTCCTCGTCCCCCCCCTCCTCCTCCTCCTGGTCCTTCCTCGCTCCTCTTTCGCGTCAGACCTGGGGGCACAAGCAACGACACAAACACAAGAACTCGGAGCTCCGCGGACCTTTGAGTTTATCATGTTGATGTCGTTGCTTGTTCCACTGGCCCTCGCGGCAGACCGGCCTTCCTCGAAGTGTGCCGTTGTCTGGGCGAAGATCGGAACCAACGCAGCACGCAACATGCAGCAGCCGCGCAGGAGCAGCGGCAAAAGGCAAAGCGAGGGGGCAGAAGCTCCTCCTCCCCTCGCCTTCGGCCCGCCCATCGTTGACCTCCTTTTCGTCTCCGGACCGCGGCGCAACCTGGTCGGCTGCAGATGTGGGCCGCTTTGGGCAAGGCTGGGGCCCTCGGTATGCGCTGGCGCCCTCGACACAGAAGATGCCACCGTCATCCGACGTCGTGAGCAGAATGTGACGCCGCAACCGGGCACGACCAGAGAACGAGAGAGAAAGAGAGAGGGGGAGAGAGAGAGAGAGAGAGCAGCACGCGGCTCCCTGGGGCCGTGAGAAGCGCCGTCGTGTCGCTGGAGTTCAGGGTGTTGACCTCAACGACCGTCCTCGGCCTCGGCGTGAGGTCAAGCGTGCGTCATCGAGACGGCCCGCGGCTTCACGGGCACACAGCCTCCCTCCATCCACCCCGTCCCGAACTGCGTCCCGCCTTCGGCCTTCTCTCCCCCCACACCCCCACTCTCCCTCCCTCCCTCCCTCCCACCCCCCCCCCAATCCCTGCAGCCCTCCCCCACTTGGACTCGTGCCCCTTTGCGACGACGGGCTGGCCCTATCAGAGCTAGACCTTCCGACTGTCCCCCACTGCACCTCCGCCCCAATACCCTCCTTGACGGCCCAATTTTAGCAGGTTGCCCACGGGGAGGCCGTACTCACCGATCCTGGGTTCAGGACGGGTCTGGCCAGGATCGGTGCACGTGTGTATTGTGTAGCTAGCGCCCTCCAGCCCTCCGTGCCATACACAGACGACCAGAAACATGCATGCAAGCAAGCAAGCAAGCAAGCAAGCAAGCAAGCAAGCATGCATGCATGCATGCATGCATGCATGCAGACATACAAATGGACATACTTGGTCGGTGTGCAGCCTCGCACGGCGCCCCAGGCAGCGAGAAGGTCACCATGGGCCACGGCGGAACACTGGACTTTTCCGCAGGGCACCCGCCGGCGGGCCCGTTCCTCTCGCCTGGTGCGACCGCTGCGTCCGTCACACGACGATGCCTCCGCGACCGTCTGACTACCTACCAGACCACCCCAACCCAACCCGAAGACCCGAATTTCAGGTTGGGGGGGGTAAGGGTTCCATGTGTGTTTTTTCGATGTTTCCCGACCCCCCCCCCCAGAGGAAATCGAGGGTAAATCTGAGCCTTCGGGTTGGGTTGGGGTGGTTTGGTGGGTGGAGACCGTCCTCGGCCTCGCCGACACGCCACACGCGTCGCCGAGGGAGCCGCGCACAGGGCTTCACCCGGTCGAGGTCACCTCGAACGGACCTTTTCAGAGAGAGGAGGGGCAAGACGGCGGAGGACAAGATTCGGCCCGGAGCAGCCGCCGGGCCCGAGGAGAGCTGACGCGGGCGAGGGTGGCGAAGAGGATAGAGGATGAGGGCGATGAGGAGGAAGGCGAAGAGGATAGAGGATGAGGGCGATGAGGAGGAGGATGAGGCACGAGGATGATGATAATGACGATATCGCCGAGGATACTGATAGGGATGATGATACTGATGGTGGTGGTGGTGTTGATGCGGCAGAGGAGGAGGAGGAGGAGGAGGAGGAGGAGGAGGAGGAGGAGGAGGAGGAGAAGCGAGGAGGAGCGACGAGGGGGGAAGGACGGTGGCAAGGGCCGCGGCTGCTGCGACCGCGGTCGGCGATTCCACTACCTACTCGCAGCAGCCGGGGTCTCGACGCGGGCGTGCCCTGCTCCTCCGCCGCCTCCAGAGGGGCCTGGCGCGGCGCTGGATAAGCTGCACCCGCCCATCGGCCGCTCGACACCGGGGAGGGTAGACGGGGATCAGAAAGGAAAGGAGAGAGGGAGAGACGGAGAAAATGAGAGAGAGGGGGGGGGGCGGAGGCAGAGAGAATGTCCACACTGGGCGTCCAGAATCCGCTGCCTATCCCTGTGGCCACCCTGGGGCCCCCTCCCTCAAGAGCTCTCCCCAACTTCCCATGTGACCACCTCGAGGTCTCCAAAAGCTAGCCTACTTGTCTGATGGGAGCCGATCGAGGTGGTAATTGACACGTCGCCCCTTCTCTCTGATCCCTTCACCGCCGGGGGAGGCAGGGGCCTGGAGGCGGTGGAGGGGGGTCCCGGGCGGTTTCTCGTCCCGACACCCTAACTCGGGTGATCTGGGGCCAGTTGGGAATCTTCAGGCCACCCTGGCCTGCTATAGCCCGCTCGGGGCAAAACCTCGGCTGATGTGTTGGAAGCCCTGGCGGGTCAAAGCGCTCACATCAGCAGATTCCTGGCAGATTGCATCATGACTGTGACATTCTTGCCGCATTGGTCGCAAGAGCGTTCATGATGGCCCAAAGGAGACCCCGATACTGACCAAACACTGTCCAAGAGGCCTCCACGAGATGCCCGAGAGGCCTCTGATACGACCCCATGAGGGGCCCACAAAGCGAACCACCGCCGCGCCGCTGGAAGCCAACCGTTCCAACAGGATCCAAAACCCGCAAGGGGCTCCCAAGAGGAACCCAACAGATCCAATTCGCCGGCACAACGGGCCAGGCGTGCTAGAATCTTCCGTAATAGTTTCATAATGTCTCTGGTTCGCGCGCGCGTGGCGGCCCCTGGGGGTCCCTGGACGACAAACATCCCGGCAAGGTTACGGCAGCCCCAGAAGCGCCGCAGTGAGGCGCCAAATATGTGGCATGCCCCACAGCCTCAGGCCCTCAGGCCATGAGCGGTGCAAGATGGCCCAAATTGGTCTGCAGAAAGCCCACGAGGCGCCCAAGACGGCCTGGGACGGCTCCAAGAGGACCCCAAGAGGGCCCGAAGACGCCAACATACTTGCTTTCGCACTGGTCGTTGACAGATTTGGGCGTTACCGCCTTTTCAAGCTCCCGACTGCACAGGACGGCCAAAGCGGCCTCCAAGGTCGCCCCAAGTCAGCACAACAGGCTCACAGGACGGCCCCAAGACAGCCCATCCCTGCCTCTGCCTCTGCTTTTGCCGCTGCCCCTACGTTTAAGTCGGGCCTGTCCCCCTACAGGGGGATTTTCGACGAAAAATCAGAAAAAGCCCCAGAATAGTCAAACAATAGTCCAGAAATAGTCCGGGGACTATTTTGGGGGTATTTTTTTACCTTTTTGGGGTACTTTGGGGGTATGTTTTATTTTTCATCGAAAATCCCCCTGTAGGGGGACACGCCCGACAGAACCCTACGTCCACCTTCTGCTCATCCACGGAGATGGCCGTCTGCAGGAACCCCGTGACGTCGCTCTCCTCGCGTGCGGGGCGGCCCGGAGGGGCCGCTGGCGAAGGCGGAGGAGAAGGAGCTCGAAGATGACAAGGCCTCCTCCCCTCGACGCGAGTGCAAATGCTGCTGATGATGATGCTGATGATGATGCAGATGTCGATGCTGACGACGATGATGACGACGATGATGATGATGACGATGATGATGGTGACGATGATGATAATGAGATGTTGCTGATACTGATGATGATGACGATGACGGTGCTGATGATGCTGCTGATGATGATTATGATGCTGATGGTGATGATGGTGATGATGATGAAGATGATCGTGGTGACGATGACGACGGCAACGATGATGATGAAACTGATGATGGTGAAGGGATGGTGGTGGTGGTGAAGATGGTGATGAGGATGAAGATGCTGATTATGGTGATGACGATCGTCGAGACGACGACGAACATGGCAACAATGAAGACGATGATGATGAAGATGATGAAGATGATGAAGATGATGAAGATGATGTTAATGGTGGTCATGATGATGATGAAAGGGATGTTGATGAGGAGGGTGAGGATTATGATGCTGATGGTAGGGATGACGATCGTGGTGGCGAAGTCGACGGCAACGACCATTATGTAACTGATGATGGTGATTATGATGATAATGACGATGACGATGACAGTGGTGGCGATGATGGTGATGATGATGCCGATTACGGTGATGATGATGGTCGTGATGACGACGACGACGGCAACGATGATGACAATGCTGATGATGCTGAGGATGGTGATGATGATGGTGGTGATGAGGATGATGATGGTGGTGATGATGATAATGGTGATGATGATGCTGATGAACATGGCGAACATGAGGATGATGATACTGACGACGACGATGACGATGAGGATGATGGTGATGAAGATACTGATGATGCTGATGAGGAGGATGATTACGATGATGATGATGATGATGATGATGATGATGATGATGATGATGCTGATGCTGATGCTGATGCTGCTGCTGCTGCTGTTGCTGCTGATGATGATGATGATGATGATGATGATGATGATGATGATGATGATGATGATGATCAAGGGCGGGCTGCGAGTAAGCACATAATTTCACATAATGATGATGGTAGTGATGATGATGACGATGATGAGGAATACTGATAATCTCGTCCGCACATAGCCGTCATGCTACGGCCAGGTCTGGAGATGCATCCTTCTGGGTCTCCTGGCTCTCTGGCGAAATAGGTTCCCAAACCTGTCTGCCGTGGAGTTGAACACCTGGCTGGCGAGTCACATCGGGTGCTCCCTGTCCTGGGGTATTTGGGAGCAGCAGGCAAGGGCAATAGGAGGAGGAACTGTGGAGCCATGGAGAACGGAGGAGCGAGACCCGCGAGGAGGGCGAGGAGGAGGAGACGCAAGCCTCAACTCCGCCGAAGAAGCGAGGGCACCACGAGATCAATAATCAAAACGCGGCAACCGCTTACTCCAGATTTCGTAATAAAGGGAGGGGGGTCTCATTTCGGGGGGGGGTCTCTTCCAGGCTATCTTGGAGGGCCTGGAGGGTCTGGGGACGATGTTTTGGAGGGTTCTCCCACGGGGGAGGTCTGAAATGGGTTGTTTTGGAGGGTCCAGACCCCCTCCCTTTTATTACGAAATCTGGAGTAGCAGCGTTGGGTGTCACCATTGAGGGGGGGGCTGTGCGCAGGTGACAATTAGCCCGAAGATACTTCAAGGCCGTGCCTCTTCCCCGATGAGCCTTCCACGTCACAGAACCTGTGCACTGGGCAAGCAGAGTCGGGAACTGTCGGCTTGAGTACTCACCACCACACTTCAAACAAATCACAAAGGGGCCTCCAGTGACAAAATAATGTCTTCGAAGGGAAGTGGCATCCCTGTCCCCTGACGCCTCGGGCCTACTAGACACACTAGCCACTGGGCAAAGCACACTACCAGCAAACGCAATAGTCGAGCCAGTTGCAAAATGGTTGCGCAAACAAAAATTCCGACGCTATCTGCCCGTCGGGAACGCCCGAAACACTAGGCGTAGTGGCGCCAGTGGTCCCGTCGGACGTCCCCAACCCTCCCGCCCGCAGGAGTCGAACAAATCCCAGGCCTCGAAGCCGTGTGCAGGCCCTCCCCCTCGAACAAACTCAGGACACGGTGGGCCGCACCGACGGACACTACTGTGGCTTCCTCGCGGGCCGAGGGGGGGAGGTCGAGGCAGATGACGAGGAGGAAGCCGCAGGAGCCGCGGCGATGCGCCTCTGCAGCGCCGAGGGGGCGCAGACCACGAGCTCGAGGCGCTGACTGGCCTCGTCGGTGTGGGCGGTGGCCGAGCAGAAGGCGAGACGCCAGAAGCCTCCAAAAACAGGGCGGAGGCGATGGCGCCCTGTTTTGGAGGCGCCATAGGCGGAGGCGAGGCACCACCTGTGGAGGCGAGGCACCCTCCAAAAACAGGGCGGAGGCGAGGCACCACCTGTGCCGACGCCGTAGGCGCCTCCAGGCGCTCGGTCTTCCCCGCCTGCACGTCGGGTCCCCTCGCTGCGCGCCCAGCTTGGTCACGAGCCAGGCAAGAAGCTCGGCCCCTCGGCGGGTGTCAGAGGGCCTGGCCGCACAGGCATCATGCACCGCGCATGGCTGATGTTCACGGGCTGTAAGCTTCGGGAAGACCTCGGCCCAGGCATTACCTAAGAGGAGGAGGAGGAGGAGGAGGAGGAGGAGGAGGAAGAGCAGGAGCAGGAGAAAGACGACGAAGCCAGGCTCCCGGCTGCCCCCAGGACCATACACCCCGTGGCTGGCGAGCCGCGGAGCACAGCGGAGCGCGACGGCATCCGCCTACGGAGAGAGGCTGGCGTCACGGTCGAAGTCTTGGCACGTCCCGAGGGACCTTGCATGACGGTTACGATGATGAATGGAACTGATGGTGGTGACGGATGCTTGTTCCACAACCGACCTTCAGCGAGAACGACGGGTCTCGCGCGCCAGGCCCGTCGAGACCAGTCAAGGCCACGGCGGCGACGCCTGCCTCATCCGCCCGGGCCTCTTCCTCATGAAGCCACATGCCCTCGCCTTGGCTTGTCGACATCACAGACTACGAGTGCGTGAGTGTGAAGCATCCGAAACTCCGTGGGTCGTGCCTCGTAACAAAATCCAGATGTGGTTTGTACTGGAGTTGGGGCCCTCTGAACTCGGGAGGGCTCCGTGCCCTTTCTCACTGGTCACGGCAGATTAACCGCGATCGGCATTCCCACGTACGCCCTGGTGGTGTTCCTCCGCACCATTGAGTTGGAAGTCGAAACTGTTAAGTGCACTCCGCCCCCAACTTCGGCGAATACCCACCGTTACACGTGGCGCGAACTTCACGCAGAGCAGCCGGTCGCCAACCCTCATGAGCGCGCGGATCGCCGCCTCCATCTCTATCTACTGTCTCAAATGGTGAAAATACAACAAATACTTCCCTCTGTCTGTCTGTCTGTCTGTCTGTCTGTCTGTCTGTCTGTCTGTCTGTCTGTCTGTCTGTCTGTCTGTCTGTCTGTCTGTCTGTCTGTCTGTCTCTGTCTGTCTCTGTTTGCCTCTCTCTCTCTCTCGCTCCCACTCTCTCTCTCTCTATCTCTCTCTCTCTATATCCCTCTCTCTCTTTCTCTGCGTATATATATATATATATATATATAAATTATATATGTGTGTGTGTGTGTGCACGTCTTCCTAGAATGATACACCCTGCATGGAAATACCCCCCCCCAGATGGCCCACGCCCCCCCCCCCCGCAAAAAAGAAATCCCGCGGACAAGACGCGCCCGAGGACGGCCTCCGCACGGCCCCCAAGGACGGCTAAAAAGCACGACCCGACAGCCTCCCAAGCAGGCTCTAAGGAGGCGCCCAAGAGTGACTACCTACCAGACCACCCCAACCCAGCCCGAAGACCCGCATTTCGGGTTGGGGGGGGGGTAAGGGTTCCACAGGTGCTTTTCCGACGTTTCCCGGACCCCCCCCGCCCCCCACTTGAGATCGAGGGTAAATCTGAGCCTTCGGGTTGGGTTGGGGTGGTCTGGTGGGTGGTGATTCCAATCAGGCTTAAGGAGGCGCCCCAAGAGGGCCGCGAGAGGCAGCCGTCGATGACTTCCTGTGGTGTGCCTATGACGCTCCCGCCCGCCGCCGGGGGCCCTCCCGCCCGCCCTCTTCGTATACTCAACTCCCTCCGTCTGCAGCACAGCACCCAAATACCCAACACCACCCGTTCCAAACACAACATCAAAATTGAAGGGGCCCCAGGACACACAAATACACACACAAATAAACAGATTCCCCATATCTTCCCATATTTTCTGGGTCTCTGTCTTCCCCCCCACTTCCCATAGTTTCCCATATTTTCTGGGGTATCGACGATTAATTGTGTCTGTGTTTTTTCCCTCCTGGAAACACAACATCAAAATACTCAGCATTCTCCGTCCCGAACATTCTCCCAAACACCCGCCGGAGCACACCAGGCACCAGCTGCAAGACCCGATCCTAAGTTCTGATACGATCCAAATCCCCCCGCCGCCCGCCGCCCGCCCGCCCTCCCTCTCCTGGTACTCAGCCCCCTCCGTCTCCAAACGAATACCCAAATACTCATCCGCCTATGTCTCCAACGCAACACTCAACTACTCAACAACTCCCGTCTGCAACGCAACACCCTGATGCTCAACAACACCCGTCTCCAACACACCATCTGGTACTCAACAAGCCCCCGCATTGGAATCGCGGTTCCGTCCGCCGCCAGCCGGCCGCCCGTCCGCCTTCTCCTCGTACTCCACTCCCTCCGTCTCCAACACAACACCCGGATACTCCACACCTCGAGTCTCGAACGCTACAACCCAGATACCCTCTAGCCTCCGTCTCCAACACAACGTTTGTACGCTCGGCAGACTCCGTCCCCAACACAAAATCCAGACACTCAACAGACTCCGTCTGCAGGCCCCCGCTGCAAGACACCATCCTCTGGAGTCCCATTAAAATCCAGATACCGCCCGCCGCTCGCCGCCCGCCGCCCGCCCTCTCCTTGTACTCAACTCCTCCCATCTCCAACATGACACCCAGAAACTCAACACCTTTCGTCTCCAACACAACACCTAGATACTGAACCACCTCCCCGTCTCCAACACACCAACGGATAATCAACAACCTCCGCCTCCAACACAGAACCTCAAATACTCCGCAACCCAAGTCTCCAGCACGGCACCCGAATACTCAACATACCCCCTGCGAAATGCTTAAGAAATCATGGGTTAAGAAATTCATAGTCTCAGAACTTGAATAAAAACCCAGAATTTCTATCAAAATCTTGGGATTTACACTGAAGCGTTAAGAATAATCGAGACTCTGGCCGAAAACTTGGGTTTTCTTAAGCATCGCCTGGAGTGTACCCCCGCTGCAAGACAACAGCCTTCGGAGTTGGATTGACATCCCGATCCCGCCCACCGCCCGCCGCCCGCCCTCTCCCTGTACTCAGTCTTGTTTCTCGCGAGTTTCTCGCGAGTTTCTCGCGAGTTTCTCGCGAGTTTCTCCCTCGCCCTGTAATCAAGTTCCTCGCCCTGTAATCAAGTTCCTCGCGAGTTTCTCTGCCGCGCGCCACCAGGCTTGCAGACGTACTGACAGCATCGACCCAAATGCTCCACAGCCCCCGTGTCATACACACCATCAGGAATCCAACAAGCCCCCTCTGCAGGACACCATCCTTAGGAATGACATTCGAATCCCAGTCCTGGCCGCCACCGCCCGCCCGCCCTCTCCTCGTACTCAAGTCCCTCCGTCTCCAACACAGAACGAGGATGCCTAGCAACCTTCGTCCCAACCACAACACCCAAATACTCAACAACGCTCGTCTCCAAGACAACACACCTATACTCAACAAATTTCGTCTCCAACAAACCATCCGATACTCAAAATCCTAGGTCTCCAACACGATACCCAGAGACTCAACAACCTCCGTCTCCAACACACCATCCAATACTCAACAGGTGCCCGCTGCAAGACTCAATCCGTAGAGCTCCAATAAGAATCCAATCCCGCCCGCCGCCCTTACGCCCGCCCGCCGCTTCCTTGTACTCAACTCCGTCCGTCTTCAGCACAACACCCATAGACTCAACATCCTCCGTCTCCACCGCAAAACACTGATGGTCAACAACCTCCGTCTGAAGCAGACGATCGGGAACTCAGAATGCAAGAGCGGCAAGACACGAATCTTAGGATTCCTGTTAACGTGCAGATCCCGCCTGCCGCCCGTCGCCCGCTCGCCCGCCCTCTCCTTCTGTTCAACCCCCTCCGTCTCCAACAGAACACACATATACTAAACCACCTGCGTCTCCAACACGACACCCACAGATTCAACAACTGCCGTCTAACGCAAACACCCTGATGCTCAACAGCCTTCGTATCCAACAGACCATACGGTAGTCAACAGGCCCCCGATGCAAGACACCATCCTTCTAGGAATTGCATTAAACAACAAAAGACCATCCCGCCCGCTGCCCAACGCCTGCCATATCCGTAAGCCCAACTCCCCCCATCTCCAGCACAACACCCATCGGGTCAACAAACGTTGCCCCCAACACGAAGCCCGAACACTCAACACATTCCGTCTCCCACACAAATTCCGGATGCCAAACAGCCTCTGTTTCCAACGCACCGACAGGTACTCAAAACAAGCACGCGCTGCAAAACACCATCCTTTGGAGTTCTATGAAAACCCACCAGCCCTCTGGGCGTAGGTGGTCTAGGGAGGCTTCTCTTCCAAGCTCCTTCTTCCCCTTCAGGGAGGGGTTATCACCGTCCCTTACTAAAATACACACCCTCCCCCAGGCGACTGGCAGCCAACCAGAAACCACGCTCAACCCCCTCCCCACCATCACTGTCAACATCCAATACAAAACGCACTCTGCCTCCACATTTGGAGCATGCTCGACCAACCCGATGCGACCCATCGCTTTCAAAAAACAAATCAGATCAAACTTTGGGGCAAAGTCTTGAGTCATGTTCGCGAGACCCGCGAGCACTTCGTATTGCAAATGACAGGGACCACGGGGGAATCAACATTTTGCCTGCTGCGCTGCGCGCAGGGCTACCATCCTTAACAAAAACAAAACAACATGCACCTCGCGGCTAAATCTGGATCATGCGCGGCCACCCCGCCGGCACCCTCGAGTGGTGTTTGACAGGGGCGGCGGGCGCGCGTGGCGCGTCTGCCACGCGTGGCGCAGCTTGCCCCAGCGTCGCGCACATGGGGTCGGTTTTGCTTCCAAGTAGCTGCCCATCCAAAGACGACCGCTGAACATGCTCAGGCTCGGGTGTCCCATATGTGCTGGGAGAGCGGGTGGGAGTGAGCTAGAAGGCTTGCGATCCAGGGGGTGCCTTGACCCCTCCCCCATACCCCTTCCCCTGGGACCTGGACGGGGTGCCCCGAGAGCGGTCAGAGCATCCAACCAAGATGGCCCAGGACGGCTCCAAGAGAGCCTCAGGGAGCCCAAGATGACCTCCAAGATGGCTCCAGATAGCCCAAGATGGCTCCCAAGATGCCCCAAGAGGCCCCCAAACCTCTCCAAGACGGCGCCAAGTGGCCATGGACCCCCCCCCCAGGAGGCCGCCAAGAGGACAACATCTTTAGAAAGCCTAGGGGAAATCAATGAATGTCGCTCTCTTGCCTTGCTGCTTTTGATGGCTATCCGAGGTCTCAAGATGGTTCCAAGATGGCCCACGAGGGCCCCAAGAGAGGCCCACGAGTGCCCGAAAACGGACCTAAGAGCGCCCAAGAGCGCCAAAAGGAGTCCACAAGGCGATTTGTGGGGCTCCCAGGGGGGGGGGGCGAAATTAAAGCTCCTCCCTTCTTTGTCACTCTCCTCCAAGGTGGCCCTAAGAACGCTCCAAAGGCTTCCAAGAGTGTTTCAAGAGGGCCCGGAGAGGCGCCCAGGAGGACCCAAGAGGCACCCAAGAGACCCCCAAGAGGCCGCAAGAGGCTCCCCGAGGCACCCAAGACGCTCCACCAGCCGGGCCCGCCCCTGGACCACCTCCTGTTTCGACGCCGCGGCTGTGTTGCCTCATGCGTGTCTGCCGCTCCACGCACACACACACACACACACGCACACACACACACGCACACGCACACACACACACACAGACACGCACACACACACACACGCACACACACACACACACACACACACACACACACACACACACACACACACACGCCCCAGCAGAGGGGTGCGGCCTGGAAGGCGTTCGCACCGGCAGCGAGCGACAGCAGGATCACCACGGGCAGCGAGCGGCCCCTGCACGCGGAGAGCTCCATAGCCGGCCTGCCAGCGCGCGCGGGCGCGCGGGAGAGATCCGGGCGGGGGCCGGGAGGAGTCGGCCCCGAGGAGAAAACGACACGCCCGCGACGGTCGACTTCAGTGCGCAAGGAAGGCCCGAAAGCTTACAAGCACGCGGGGTGTGAAAGGGAGGAGTAAAAGCGGGGAGAGGGGGAAGAAGGCAAGGGGAGGAGGAGGAGGAGGAGGAGGAGGAGGAGGAGGAGGAGGAGGAGCAGGAGGAGGAGGCGGAGGGGGAGGAGGGGAGGAGGATATAAAACGGCGCAGGAGCAACGATGCGGACGGAGGAGGCGGAACCGGGGAAGAAACAAAAACAAACAGGATGAACAATGTGGATGGACGAAAGATCCTCCAGGAACGTGGAACGCACTTACACGATACGTCCCGGCATTGGGCGCTATTTCGTGCACCGAGCACGAGGCCCTGTTTCGCGCGTCGGTCGCGATAGCATCTGCGCAACTTCAACAGGGTTTCTGTGAGCGTTCGTTAGAGTTCGCCTCCCAGGGGTTCGTGAAGTTCGATATTTCTGTATACAAATATACATATGCACATGCAGGGTCGAAACAAAAACACAAACTAGGTCTACGTAATCGAAGGGGGAAAAAAACGCCTCCTATGTATTCGAATACGTAAGACATGTTCGGTTGACGCATCCAGACACGTCTGATTCGATTCCTGGGTGCTTCGCCCGTGAGCACGTCCGCGGGCCTTCATCGGGTGCAAGGGATCAGGTTCTGCCTCGAGCGCGGTCGGAGGATCGCAGCTCTTGGCGGCATCGTGCACCTGCCGTGCAAGGGCGCGGTGGCCCTTCACAGCCTCGGCTCTGCTGCAGCAAAGGGCGCGCGAGCCCGCGGAATCGAGCAGCGCGGTGTCGAAGAGGTTGCAGGGGGCGGGCTCGCTGAGGCCAGCGGCGCCGACGCGTGGCCGGAGCGTTTCGCCGAAGTCCTGGCGGTTGGAAGGGGGGCCCTCGTGCCAGCTCCGAACCCAGAGCCGCTCGTGGTTGGTGTCGGGGCGGCTGAGGTCCTCCTAGCGGCGCGGCGCCAGGTCGTTGCCAGCCTGCGCGTGGCGCTCGCGCAGCTCCAGGCGCGCCTGCGCGCCGAAGCGGGCCAAGGCGGCCCTCTGGAGGTGGGCGCGGCCGCGGGGCGCAACGGCAGGGTACTCGTCGTCCTCGTAATCGCCGAGAGGGACGATGCCGCTACCCATGCGCCAGAGCCAGCCGTTCCGCCTAGGAGCGCGGTCGTCGGTGGGAGCGGCAGCGTCAAAGAGGCCAGCCCAGCGTTCCTCGCACTGGTCGGCCTCGCCAGCGAGGAAGTCCAGGAGCACTCTGCCGGGGGTCAGGGAGGAGCCCGACCAGCGTGACCGCGGCTTCCTCCGAGCGCTGGTCGTGGGCCCCCACGGTCGCCGCCAACGATGGTCCCCACCGCGGTGCGCAAATCTCTGCCGAAGGTGGCGAACCAGTCGTAACTGATCCTGTCCCAGTTGAGGCGCAGCTGGTAGGAAAGCTTCGACACGTCGGCGCGCAAGCGGGACAGGACGACCTCGGCGGGTTCGCGGTTGACGCTGAGAAGCGCAACACGGGCGGCCCGGGCCTTCTCCACGGCCGCTTTGACCTCGTCGTACAGAGCCTCTTCGCTGCCGAACGGAGCGCCCAGGGCGAGCGCGGGGCCGCGTGGGTCGAAGACGTTGCAGGTGGCGCACACGTAGCCGGTGGCCCAGCCGTCGCGGAGCCCTTGGCCGCGCACTCGGCGACAGCGCCGCGGGTGCCGCCGAAGCGGGCGAGCCCGCCGTCCAGTGCCCCGAGCCAGGGGCCAAGGCCAGCCGGCCGGGCGAACACCTGCCGCGCACCACTCCTCGCACGCTGGCGCGCGGCGGCAGGTGCGGCCGCGTCGGGGGCGCCTCCTGGGGCCGGCGCAGCGGCAACAACGCGGGGGGTGGTCGCGGGAGCAGGCGGGCCGGCGGCGGCGGCCGGAGCCGGGCCGCGGGCGGCGCGGGGCTGGCCTGGGGCGGCAGCAGCGGGCGCCTCTGCTGGTGCGGGCGCAGAGACGGCGAGGGCAGGCGCGAGCGCGGCCGCGAGGGTGCACCCAGCCTGGAGGGCACCAAACCCGTCGCCCTGCTCGGCCCCGCGGTCGGTGTCACAGAGTTCGCCAGAGGGCAGTTCGGTGGTGGACGGCTGGCGGTGGTGCCATGTCGTCCACGCGGTCATTCCGTCCACGCGTCGATGAGCTTGACCTTCTTCCAGTCGTCTCTGAGTTCTGGGTCATGTGCTGGCGACTCTCAATCACGCGTTCGGACGGCGTAGATGATGTTCGTGGTCGTACTAGTCTTGGGCAATATCCTTTTGTTTCTTTTTGGGCGTATTCTCCTCCTCGGGTTGTGATGTGGTCTTCCCTTTGCCCTGATTGTCGTTGTTCTGGCCTCTCTGGCTGCGGCTGTCGGGCTCGACGTCGTCGTCGTATGGCTTGTGGAAGTTCCCCTTGCCCTTGCCTGTGCTGCCCTTTCCGGTGTAGCCCTTGTCTCAGTAGGCGTCGGGGTGGTCATTGGCACACTGTCTCGCCCACAGATTGCTCCTCCAGCGCTGGAAGCGGTGGCCTGACTCCTGAGGATGAAAATGCGAGCCATAAGAGGTGAACGTAAATTTGAAGTACGTGGAAGTGTGAGTAAACTGGCACGGGTACTCGGGCCCCCTCCTGAGGGCGGGGCACAGCGCTGACTGCGGCCCAAGTCCTTCGGGCACGCGGCTCTCCTCCTCTTTTTCCTCCTTTTCCTCCTCCTTTTCCTCCTCCTCCTCCTCCTCCTCCTCTTCCTCCTCCTCCTCCTCCTCCTCCTCCTTCTCTTCCATCTCCTCCTCCTCCTCCTCCTCCTCCTCCTCCTCCTCCTCCTCCTCCTCCCCTCCGTAGCCATTTTGGCTGCAGCAGCAGTTCGGGTTTCGGCACGCGCACTTCGAAGGGACGCAGCTCGTCGGGGCCATGGCGCCATGAAACTGGTGGTTCCTCATGAGCTCACTCGGCGAGAGGCTCGCAGCTTTCGAGGTCGGCGTTGAGGAACTACTTGGACCAGGCGCGGAGGTGACGAGCGAGGTCATCGATGGCGCATGGAACTAGGCCAGTGCCGTTGGCACGACGCCGCCGCGGCGGGTGAAGGTCGCGAGCGAGGTGAGCCTCCCCGCTCGCTGGGTGGAAGGTGGGCCAGTTCCCCAGCCCAAGAGGATGCCGTCGTCGTCCAGGCTGCCTTCTCCATCCGGGGGCGTCCCCGATCTTCCCGAAGATGACGGGCGACACCATGGAGGAGGAGGAGGAGGAGGAGGAGGAGGAGGAGGAGGAGGAGGAGGAGGGGGAGGGGGAGGAGGAAGAGGAGGAGGAGGAGGGGGAGGGGGATGATGGGGAGGAGGAGGAGGAGGAGGAGGAGGAGGAGGAGGAGGAGGAGGGGGGGGAGGGGGAGGGGGAGGGGGACTGGCTTCAGAGGCCCTGGGGAGCCGCCGCGCCACGGGCGCAGGGCGCGCAGGCTGCCGCGGGAGCACGGTGCGCGGCCCCGGGCGGAGGCGCCCGTGCAGGTCGAGACGGAGGAGAAGCTGGCGATGGGCAGGAGCAGGGAGGACCTGTCCTGAAGGGGCCCCATAGGACACACAAAGAACTACATGCACACAAACAAAACGATTCCCCCATATTTTCCCATATTTTCTGGGTTTCTGTCTTCCCCCCCCACTTCCCACATTTTCCGATATTCTCCGGGGGATCGACGATTCATTGTGTCTGTGTGTTTCTTCCCCTCCTGAGACTTGTCGGCGCAGCAACACCAGAAGAAGCTGGGACAGCGGACGGACCAGGAGACGCAGCAGGAGGAACCGACTGGTTCCTGGGAGCGTCGGCGACGCGGGGGGCTACTGCATCGGCAAGCGCCAGTCGCAGCGGCGTCGGGGGGGCCGCTGCCTGCGGGTCCTCGGCCTGGGCCGGAAGAGAAGGCCGTGCAGAAGGAATGCCGCAAGCTGGAGGCGCAGAAGCAGGAGATGCTTCTCGAGCCCTGCAGGCTGAGGTCGCACAGGGAGGAGCTCGAGGAGGCGCGGGAGCTGCCGGACCAAAAGAATGTGCAGGACACGGTCCACCCGCCTGGCTGGTGGGGGGAGCTGGCCAGGGCAAGCCGAACTCCGCCTAAGGAAAGGAAGGCCAGGGCAAGCCCGAACTCCGTGGCGCTGGCTGGCACCGCGGTGAGCACGAAAAAGGAGGAGGACCCGCAGAGGCTCGCGGCGGAGTGGCAGCGGCGGCGCGCCCAGCGGCTGGAGTCCAATTGGAGCGGGAGCTCCTGCTCGGGGCGGCGACGGAGGTGCCGCCCCTGGAGCCGAAGCGATCGCGAAGGCCAAAAAGGAGCTGGGGGGTTGCTCGAGAGCCCGAAGCAGGAGACCTGCGACGAGGCCCCGCCGTCGGAGGCGCGGGGGCTGCAGACGTGGGATCGGCACGGCCTGAAGGCCACGGTGCGGCAGGGCGCGACGGCGACGGAGCATGTGAGCGTCCTCGAGGCCACGGGCCGCGAGCTCTCCGAATCAAAGGAGGAGGAGGCGGGAGCTCCTCCTCCTCCGCTGTCGCGGGAGGCGGCGCGGGTGCTGGGCATCACGACGAAGCCGGGAAACCTAGTGGCACCTGCGCCCAAGGCGGTGGCCACCACCCTTTCTATTTCTGGGGGATAACGCACATTACCACGGGGGGGGGCACGGGGGGGGTAACGGTGACTGGGGCCGCGGCGCGCACCCCCTGAGGCGCGCCGCCTACGTCGTCGTCGTCGTCGTCGTCGTCGTCGTCGTCGTCGTCGTCGTCGTCGTCGTCGTCGTCGCCGCCCAAGCCCACAGCGCCTGTGCACACAACACGGTCTCTGTACAATGCCTTTGTGCACCAGGGTTGCTACAGAAATCGCATGCGTGTGCGCCACGGCGATTGCGAACGCCATAACAACGGCGTGCACCAGGACACCTTCGTACATCGCGCGATCTGTG